TAGTCTGTAGCAAGCACCCGACCTGTCGCTCCTCCTTCCTCGTCATGATGCATACCAAAAGCCTACACGTACCTACGCCATCAATTACAATGAAGAACATCACGAACCGCACATCCCCAGACGAAGTTGAGGACCGGTGCGCTTCCTTAAAAGTTCCTCACTGCGGCTCCTCCGCATTTTCCGGAACGATATATTCGCCCACAAACCACATGCAACGGCGCCCTAGTTCCACTTTGCCGCGCGGACAGGCGGATACTGGTTGTATGGCCAATGTTCTCGGCGTGCCTTGTGCCTCGAGGCCAGTGTCAAACCAACGCAAACTTCTAAACCATGCAAATCACCAGGGATGAATGCCACGATATACAGGCAGCCTAACTGTCGCGAGCGATTGTGGCTGCCAATCCCAGACGGTTGGGAATGCGCGCCGTCGTGCCGCCCCCGGTATGCCAGCGCCACAGGCCATGACAGCTTCGAGGAATAACGCTACAATACCCAATTCGAATGTTTGACTGACAACTTGACTAGGCTAATGGGCAGAGTACCCACGCCACCTTGGCATCGGCACACCCACCGCAACGTTACAAGCCCCAGCTTTTTTTTTTTTTTAAAAAAAATCCTTTCTCCAGATGTTATGCAGCCCCCGGTTGAAGAGGCGTGGCTCATGACCAAGTCTACAGTGGAGGACTCACTCGAGGCGAGAACATCCTGCCAACAAGACGTTCAAGATAGTCCACCACTGCGCGGTTGTAGCACTGGCCCAGAATTAATTCAATATGCCTCGTGGAGACGTCCACCTGCGGTCCACATACCCCGGGCGTTCTATTGCGCGGTTGTGTGCATCATCTCGCCCGCACCCCCGTCTCAGCAATCCTTTGCCATTGGCTCCGCCTTACCTTCTCCCCATCAACCTTTCATCTTGAGGTTGCTCCCCTGTGTGCGTGCGACGAGAGTGAGGGTGAGAGAAGTGGCTCAGGTCAATTTTCGAGCACAGCCAGGCACTGACATCACTCGCTCCCAAGCCGCGGCAGAAAACGGGAAACTCAAAACGCAACCGTGGACCATCTATGTTATTGACCACTGGCCACTGACCATTCCGCGACGCCAGCCAACCTGGCTGCGGCTTCCTGTAACATCCAACTTTGTTTACCGTTGCGAGAGGTTGCCTGCGACTTTCTTGTTGGCGTTCCTAATCTGAGTTGTATACGAACGACACCTGTCTCTCCCCTTCCACACTCTATAAAAATAAGTTTGCCCGAGATTGCAGGTAAACCCGGGCAGGTTTCATCAAGGTTGTCCATGGCCAGGTGTCCTTGTTGACCCCCCAGATTCCCGGATTTGACGTCCCTTTTTGATCGGCCCGTCCGGTGGTGTCTGGTCTCGTCTTGGATGCGTCCCTTTGTTCGTCTTTGTGGTTTCTGTTCCTCATTGTTTCACTTGTTGGCATTCTCAACACCTTACCTCGCCGGCACGTCAAACTTTCACCCTAGCACGGCTTGCTACGTTCATCTCTGCACCTGTACCATCGCTTAGCACATTGGGCCCGTTTGATCTGGTTGATCTCACCTTGGATCCGAGTCTGGTTGGTTGGTTCAACTTGAAATAGGTGCAACATTGCAACCCTCATTTGTCCTAAACTCAAAACATTTATCTTTGAACATATTCCCCCTCCTCTCACCTTTGGCAGCTTTCGTTTGAGCCAATGTTATGCCTAGCATCATTCTTGCGATGACGAACTTTCGAAAGGCCATCATTGCCGCAATTGTAAAGAGCTTGCTTCGAGGCAAGTCTCTAATACAAGCCCTGCTTTCCTTCTGGGTCAACCCTGGCATAGCCAAGGGCGGCAAAGGTAAGTCAACAAAAACGTTACAAGAGTTTCTCAAAGATGCCGAGGCTGCACTCCTCGGTCCTGTTAGTGGCAACGGTCTCCAGGAGCTTTCCGCAGGCTTAAAGAAGCAATTTGTCGAACGCTTGCAAATAGACGAACAATGCATGTTGCCTTCTTATAGCCATCAGCTGCCGTTAGGCAGCGAATGTGGACAGTACCTGGCTTTGGATGTTGGTGGTTCGACTCTGAGAGTCGCCGTGGTGGAATTGCGAGGTCGTCGGGTCGATGCTGACAAGCAGAGTGAAATCATCAGCATGCACAACTACCGGATTGGCAAGGATGTCAGGAATCTAGTGGGAATGGACTTTTTCAACTGGATGGGCCAGAAGATCGCCGAGACCCTTGCCGAGAGTGGTCAACATGAGAACACTGAGGCGAAACCTCTTCCTATTTCTTGTGCTTGGAGCTTCCCGATTGAGTGAGTGTTCACCACCTGCACATACTTTCTAGTATTGCCTTTTCTTATCGCAATATAGACAAACTTCCATGGGGAGCGGCAAGCTCCTCCCAATGGGTAAAGCATTCTTGGCAGACCGAGGCTTGTTGGGTGAAGATCTTGCTGGCATTATCAAGCAGGCTTGCAGGCAGTCTGGTCTTCACGTTGAACTGCGAGCCCTCTTAAACGACTCTAGTGCTTGCCTGTTGTCACGAGCCTACTCTTACACGTCTACTCGATTTGGTCTTATTCTGGGCACGGGTGTCAACTTGGCGGCGTACATGCCCGTCCAGAGTGTCGGCATAAAGAAATTTGGAGTACGACCAAAGGGTTGGTATGAGGAGGCCAACCACGTCATCGTTAATACGGAACTCGGAATGTTTGGCCACAACATCTTGCCGATGACAAGATGGGATCATGCGTTGACCAAGCAGCATCCTCGTCCCGATTTTCAACCCCTCGAACATTTTGTTAGCGGCATGTACCTTGGCGAGCTTGTCAGACTGGCACTTCTTGAAGCTATTGAGACTACTGGGCTACTTGGTGGTGTTGTGCCTCATTCTTTGAGGAGTGGGTACTCCCTAGGCACTGACACGATCTCTATGATTGAAAGGTAGGGAAACATTTTCAAGTTTGGGTCCAATGGTCAACTAACCAACAACTCAAATAGTGACACCTCCTCAAACCTCGAGGAGGCCATAAAGATCTTTTCGGAACGACACCCATCATCATATACACCCAATAGCTCCGATCTTATTGCTATCAAAGCCCTTTCATCATTTGTTTCCATCCGCTCCAGCGCTCTTGTCGCTACTTGTGTCTACACGCTGTGGGACCTTCGTCTGGACTTTGAGCAACAATATGTCGATACCTTACTTGAGTCGTCTCCGGAGCGTAAGCGTGCTGAGGCCGATATGAAATTGAAGAGCACTACGGTTGCGTTCAACGGTAGTGTGATCGAAAATTATCCTGGATACCTCGCAAATTGTCAGCGTTATTTGAATGAGTTGATCGAGAGCAAAAGCTTACCTGAACCACGAAGTATTGGTCTCGTTGCTGCCAAGGAGAGCTCACTGATGGGGGCTGCCGTTGCATTGGCATGTCTTGAGCGAGGTGATTGAGCTGGAGAGCTTTTTTCCATTTTTGTTAATTTGAAAGAGCCAAAGGCATAATATTTTGGCGAATGGCTGGCGAATGGCATATGATACTTCTGTAAGTCGAGGGGCGGGTTATTCGCTCCATTTCTTCTCCTACTGTTCTACATTGGACATCATGGGTGTGCGGAGAATTAAAACGCATACGTAGAGGCGCAGGCTAGCATTGCTTCACACTATGCTTTGAGTTCTTTTTTTAAGGATATAGCGGTGGACTTTTTTTCAAGTTGGCAGTGTATATAACCGTGGAAGTCTTGGGGCGGCCTTATCTCAAGCGCCTGGGACATGAAGGTTAGGAAACTGGGCCGCCACGGCCGCTTACGGCACTACATAGGTTCAAAATGGCGATGAAAAATCCAAGATGGAAGGATACGCTTGAAGAGCAAAGACCCAAGGTTGTCTTCTTTACCAGATTAGACAAATTTTTGCTACTTGCGAAAGGAGTGGGGGTGCTTGTTTGGAGTGGAACAGAGTATCTGGCAGGATGCATTATGTACTCAAGTCTACAACACTACAATTCAGACCCTGAATGTTTAGCCAGGTGTGACATAGCAAGGGGGTTAAAGCCAATGAGACATCACTATTATAAAGAGCATGTGAGGGTTTAAAGTACCTAATAACGCGATAAAATTTCTTATTTATAAAGGTCACTCTTACAAGAGCCACTACTCCCCTGTCATTTAACCTATATTATAGTTAACAGCCACTAATATAAATAAAAAGAGCTCCTGTTAGCAGAAAAGTCCCCTCTAAATAACCCCCACTAACTTCCTTGTCAGGTCACTCATGGCTAAACTTACAGGGGTTGGATTGTACCTAAATTATGACCCGATATATTACAATACATACCAAGTGCCTACTTCTAGGTACCTAGGTAGGTGGATTAGTACCGAGCACTTGTTAGATTGCGTAATCCATGGGTAGCTTCTCAGAATTCTCAATCAATGCATCAGACTCTTAATAGTCCGTGGCATTTAGGAGCTGGCTTGTGAAGTGGTGATGGCTGTACTGTCACTAGAGCCATGGGCCGTGCGAGTGCCCAGTACTTTGTACTTGGATGAAAGTGAGGTCAACTGGTTGCATGTACATAACTCAGTACTAACTCAACGCCTGGCTCAGTTGAAGGGGCTTTTGTTCCACCGCGTTATTTAGGGTGGATGCCAGTAATTGGAGCAGGGGCTAGCAAATGTACTGAGTAACCTTGATTCTCGTGTCCCGATCAACTCTAATGAAGGTACTGTGTACTCCACACACATCGAGGAGTCAGGTGACCGCCTGCCTTGTTCGCGTTTTGTCCCGCTTCGCGTCAAAGGTGACCCCATTGCAAAGGCACGCGTTCAGGCACAACAAATAGGCAGACAGTGCTTCTTCTCCAATTAACGACGTAATTCAACCGGGCGGCCTCACAACCAGGCAGAACATACTGCTAGTGTTCAATGTATTAACTTAAATAACAGAATTTCTTTCGGCACTGTGCCGCATCATCAACGCATTTTACTCGTCGGACGACACCCATCACATCACAATGGCTGCCAGACCTGGCGTATTCAACGAGTGCGTTGTCGCGTTCGTTCCTAGCAACGAGCTTGCTCCAAAGTTAATTGGCGACGTAAGTAGGCAACATGCTCCTGACCACTGATTCAGTTGACTCAAAGTTGGTATGATTGACTGTTTTTGTCTAGTTATCCCGCATTGTAGAAGACAACGGCGGCACGATTTGCGAACCCCGCCGCAACGGCTCAATTCCCATCGAAAAAGCCACACATATCGTTTCCAACACCATAAACTTTGAGCAGTATGTCGAGTCACAAGCTATTATGATTCCCGTCGTATCAGAGCACTGGATCTCGACTTCGGTCATGAGAAGGAAAGTCGCACAAGTCAGGCCGTTCTCTCCGGATCCGCGAATGATCTTTGCCGAAATTGTTGTCACTTGTGCGGATTTGCCGCTGATGGATAAGGAGAGCATCATCGGGGCCACAATGGCACTGGGAGGACAGGAATCCAAGGATGTGACCAGGTTGACAACACACATTTGTGCGCTAAGCATGGATGCGCCAAAAGTCAAGGTGGCGCTTGAAAAAGGATTCAAGGGCAAAATTGTTCTGCCACATTGGTGAGTCTTGATAATTCGGAATAAATGGCTGGATTTGACATGTGCTAATGGGCCAAAGGTTCGACGCCTGCTTCAAGCTTGGCAAGAGGATAGACGAGGAGCCGTATCTTCTGCCGGATCCAGAAGTGATGGAGAAATCAAGCGATGATGCTATTAGCATTCCCGTAAACAAGAATTTGGTCGGTGCGACTTCAGTAAGCCCCGAGTTTCTGCCTATCGCCGCCGATAGCCAAAGCGCACGGCCTCCCGTAACGGTTTTCCAGGACAGAGCGGTTATGCTGGCGGCAGATCTTCACATTACTGCGAGGTTAGCAAAGGCCATTGGGGATATTGTTCTCGACGGAGGGGGTAAACTGGTTCATAATGTTGAGGACTGCGACATGTACATTTGCCAATATCGCGACGGCGATGAATACATCCATGCAGCCCAGTCTTGCAAGGAAGTGGGCAGCCTCTCATGGTTGTATTCACTCATTGTGAATAACCAGTGGCAAAATCCACTCCATCGACTTTTGCACTATCCTGTACCTCGAAATGGTATTCCAGGCTTCAAAGATCTTCGCATCACTATATCCAACTACGGCGGGGAAGCAAGGATCTACCTTGAAAATCTTATCAAAGCTTGCGGCGCAGAGTTCACAAAGACCATGAAGGCTGACAATACGCATCTAATAACCGCTCGCGATTCTAGCGAAAAATGCAAGGCGGCTCCGGAATGGGATGTTGCAGTCATCAACCACCTGTGGATTGAAGAGAGCTACGCCAAGTGCGAGCTCAGGCCCATTAACATCTCCAAATATAACCACTTTCCTCCAAGAACCAACCTGGGGGAGATCATAGGGCAAACCTTTTTAGATGAGTCGAGAATCAGGGACTTATTCTATCCCGGCGGCGAAGAAAATGTGTCTCCTAGCGCCAGGAGAAAGAGAAAGATCCTGGAAGCTGCAGCGGATAACGCCTACCATCGAGGTCCTGCGGAGGGGGTCGTCATTGGGCGTGACAAAGACTTTGACGTGATGAGGGACGATGAAGAAGACCAAAACCCGTCCTCCCTGAAATCGAAGAAATCCACTGCCGTCGAGACACCCGTACGCTCCCGCCATGCTCACTCCGGCAAGGAGAACGACACCCCGCCTGCCATGTCCACTGGTAGCCGTAGCGCCAAGGCGAAGGCACGGGACATTTTGCAATGCATTGCACCTGATATTGCCTTGTACGAGAAAGAAAAGAAGAGACATAGCAAAGCCGGGGCACCGTGGGGTGGGAAACGAGCGGCAGACTTGGCCGAGAAAGAAAGGGACAGCAAGACTGCCACCAGCCCCAAACATAAGCAAGAAGATGACGAAGAGGATACAAAGCGACCATCAAAGAAACAACGGCCGTCATTACCGGATGTGCATATGCGACTGGTAGTTACTGGCTACACTGGATGGGTTGGAGATAGCAAAAAAGAGGATCACGACCGTGTAAGTTGCAACGGAGCAAGGAGCATGTATCTATGGGAATTCTATTTTATGCTAATTGTCCACTTGTATAGAGAAAGATGCGGGCTCTTGGAATTCTGATTGTACAGGAGGGCCAAGCCTGCGACTACCTCGTTGCGCCTCAAGTGGTGCGTACCGTCAAGTTCCTCTGTGCTCTAGCTCGCGGAGCGGCTGTCCTTTCGTCCGACTTCATCGACAAGGTCCTCGAAACTGGAGGCGTGCCCAATGCGGATGACTTCATTCTGCAAGACCAGGAGGCGGAGCGCAAATACGACTTCAAGATCGAACGGTCGATGGCTCGAGCCAAGGCCAACCGAGGCAAGCTGCTCCAAGGAATCCCCATTTACTGCACAGAAGGGGTTCGAAAGGGGCCGGACGGCTACAAGTCCATAGCCGAAGCGAACGGAGCCATATTCAAGCTCTACCGCGCGCGGAGTGGCACGACCATCAAGCCGACAACAGCCGAAGAGGATGGGTTCGCAAAGCCAGAGCCAGTATACTTGCTGTCGGGCAATAGCGCTGATGAGAAGCAAATGTGGGTGCGGTTCAGAAACATGGCTGAGAAGGGTAACATGGAGCCCCGGATTGTCGACCCGGATTGGCTGCTAGACGTGGCGATGGCACAGCAAGTGCGTTTCGATGAGAAATTCTCAATTGAGAAGCGCATCCAAGACAAGAGTAGCTAAATGGTGGGTTTGTTGCAACTCGACGAGGCGTGCCATGGGAGGAGCACTGGAGTACGGAGTTGGGGCCTAGATAGCATTGTGCCCATCAAAAGGTCTTCTGTTCCTGGGGGTTGGCGGTTGTCTTTTTCTGTACGTGTCGGTTGCCAACGGGATAAGAATAGATGCTTGTATATACTGTCTGTTACACGATATAGTCGGTTTATCAATCAGAAGAACTTGACGCCAAGAGAGTCTTCGGAACCAAATATTTGAGCTTTGCCCCGCTTGACGAGAACATTGAGAGCCTTGAGTAGGACTTCGCTATCCATGCCGTGTAGTTCTGGTGGGCGGTAGGTAGGTTAGCACCAGGCACGTTCTGGGGCCATGCCCATGCAAATGCGCATCAAACATCAAAACACGACACCCATGACACCCCGTGACGCACCTGTGCCTCTTGTTCCCTCCCCATCAGTCAGCTCGTAAAGGGTCAGCACGCTGCCCTTTTGCGCGGTATCTTCCACGTAGGCCTCGACCAGGGCCGCCCACTCCTCGGGCTTCTTCCAGTACACGTAGACGACGTCTCCGTCCCTGCTCTTGTCGCCGCCGGCATACTCTGCTCTCCCGTCCTTGCGCATAAAGTCGACCACCTGGCGGATGTCGGCGGGCGCGAGGCGTCGGTCGATGCGGCGGTTGGAGAAGAGGTCCGAGTCCGAGGCGGACGAGAGGGAGAGCTTGAAGAGGCGGTGGTGCTTGGCGTAGGAGAGGATGAGGGAGGACCACTTGGTGAGTTGGGCGTGGTGCGTGGTGAGATTTGGCTGGGGCGTGAAGAAGGCGGGGAAGTAGTACTCGCGGGGGAAGCGGAATGATGCGTCGGGGGGTTGAGACGAGGGCTGAGGCTGGGCGGGCGACGTCGATGTCATTGCGCGGGTGAGTGGTGTGGTGATGAGTTGTGGTTGTGGTTGTGGTTGTGGTTTAGGTCGTGGTTGTGGAGAGCTGTTGTGTAGGAATGTTTAACTGGTGCATGGCAGAGGGTGGGCCGAGTACAAAGGCGTGCGTGAGAGGCAAAAGACTTGTAGATAAGGCAAGGGCGGCGACTAAGACGCCAGCCAATCAGATAACGACGCGGCCGTTCCCTATCAAGGTCCACTATTATCACAAACGATGAAACATCTGAGCGTGTGTGCCGAGGAGACGTCTCGTTTGAACTTTAAAAAATGAAATCGCAGGAATTGAAACTTATACTATACGAACAAGAGGATTTTTTTTACAAGTAAAAAAAAAAAAGTAAAAGAGATAAAAATGGGAGGTGAGCAAGCCAACCCTTCCCCCACAGAGATGCAGCCTCAATCAAGATGAGGAAGGCAAAAAGCACAGCCGGGTCCAACATTTCCCCAAACCCGATCGAGCCCCGTTCTCAACTCGCGGCACTGGCGCCTTCTCCGCGGACCCTGAAGTCTTGCTGATTCGGATAATCGGCCTCGAAATGATTGGACGTGCTTTATCAGGAACACGCCCCCCGCGCTTATCATCATCCCATCGCCGCAGGGTGAACTTGCGGGCGGCCAGGGCCAATGGCTGTAGTTGCGAATGGGACATTGCCTCAAGCTCCGGAGATGTATAATTCGAGATACAAGAGTCACCTGAAAGCGGGCACATGAGGCCCAGATACCCTCAAGAATAAGGGACTTTTTTTTTTTTTTTTAGTTCCTAGAATGTTTTATGATTCTCCTCTTTTTGCTTGTTCCTTCTTTCCCACACTCTCCTTGTCAGTAATCGGCGTCACATAGGTATTCACTACAGAAAACTGTAGATCAGAATGACGACAGAAAAGAAGAGAGTAGTGGTTGTGGGGTTGGGGATGGTAGGAATTGCCTTCATGTACGTTTTTTCTTCCTCCCTCGGCTGCTATGAAAGGAGTATTGACCATTGTGCCCAGAGAGAAATTATTGAAATATGATGCCCACCAACGACAATACACAGTAACTGTTCTCGGTGAAGAGTCCCATGTGGCATATAATCGCGTCGGATTGACGAGCTTCTTCGAGCACCGCAAAGTCGAAAACATGTATATGAATCCTCTGCAATGGGTACGTTACTGTTAAAAAAAAAATAATAAAAAAAAGAAATTTACCTCCGAGATGGGATACATCTAACAAACGGCGCAGTACGATGAAGCCAGCGTCTCGCTCGGGTACCGTATCAACACCAAAGTCACGTATATAAATTCGGCCTCCAAAACAGTCACGTGTGAAAATGGTGACGTCGTCCCCTACGATATTCTGGTTCTGGCCACAGGTTCACACGCCTCATTGCCACGGCACACGCCCGGCTGCGACGCCAAGGGCGTATTTGTCTATAGAACCATTGACGATTTAATAAGTCTCATTGACTTTGCTGCCGAGCGCAAAGGGAGCACGGGATGTGTCGTCGGCGGTGGGCTCTTGGGTCTTGAAGCCGCCAAGGCAATGATGGACCTTGAGAGCTTCAGTTCCGTCAAGCTGATTGAGCGCAACGGATGGGTGCTCAGCCGCCAGCTTGACCAGGAGGCAGGGGGCATGGTCGTGCAACAAGTCCATGATCTTGGCCTAGACGTCATGCTGAGCAAGCGTGTGAGGGAGATCAAGGTCGATGGCGCGAATCACGTCGTGGGTGTGGCTTTTGAAGACGGCGAGGAGCTCGATTGCTCGGCCGTGTGTTTCGCCATTGGCATCACTCCGAGGGACGAGCTGGCCAGGGTTTCAGGGCTCGATTGTGTCCCGCGGTGCGGAGGCATCGCCGTCGGAGATGACTTGAGAACCAGCCAGCCCGACATTTACGCCATTGGCGAGTGCGCAAGCTGGCAAGGCCAGACCTTCGGTCTCATCGGCCCCGGCGTCGAGATGGCCGAAGTCGTGGCCTTTAACCTGACCCAGGCCAAGCTCCACGCGCCGAGGGTATTCAAGCGCCCCGATCTGAGTACCAAGTTGAAGCTTCTGGGCGTCAACGTCGCCAGTTTTGGCGACTTCTTCGCAGACAGAGACGGGCCAGCACATCTTCCCGCCAAGCACAACAAGTTAGTCAACGGCGCGGCCAAGCAAGCGCAGACGGTCAAGACGCTCACCTACAAGGACCCCTTCCAGAACATCTACAAAAAGTACATCTTCACGTCCGACGGCAAATACCTCCTCGGCGGCATGATGATCGGCGACACAAACGACTACATCAAGGTTTCCCCCATGGTCAAGACCATGAAGGAGCTAGACGTCCCGCCGAGCCAGTTCATCCTCGGCGCAAAGAAGGACGGCGACGGCGACGGCGACGACGACTTGCCCGACGACACGCAAATTTGTTCCTGCCACAACGTCACCAAAGCCGACGTCGTGAACTGCGTCAAGGACGGATCATGCAAGGACCTGGCCGCCGTCAAGTCATGCACAAAGGCGGGCACGGGGTGCGGCGGGTGCATGCCTCTCGTCACGACAATCTTCAACAAGACCATGGCGGCCATGGGCAACGAGGTCAAGAACCACCTCTGTCCGCACTTCAGCTACTCGCGCGCCGAGCTGTACCACATCATCAGCGTGAAGCAGCTCAAGTCCCTGAGCGAGGTGATGCGCGAGGCGGGCACCGACGACACCAGCTCCGGCTGCGAGATGTGCAAGCCCGCCGTGGCGAGCATCTTGGCCTCCCTCTGGAACCAGCACGTCATGGCCAAAACCACCCACGGCCTGCAGGACACAAACGATCGCTACCTGGGCAATATCCAGCGCAACGGTACCTACTCTGTGGTACCGCGCGTGCCGGGCGGCGAAATCACCCCAGACAAGCTGCTCGCCATTGGCGAGGTGGCCAAGCAATATAACCTGTACACCAAGATTACCGGCGGCCAGAGAATCGACATGTTTGGTGCGAAGAAGCAGGACCTCGTGGATATATGGAGCAAACTCGTTGCAGCGGGCATGGAGTCTGGCCACGCGTACGCCAAATCCCTTCGCACCGTCAAGAGTTGTGTAGGCACGACCTGGTGCCGATTTGGCATAGGTGACAGCGTAGGCATGGCCGTCAGACTGGAAGAGAGGTATAAGAGTATCAGGGCACCGCACAAGATCAAGGGTGGCGTGAGCGGTTGTGTCAGAGAATGTGCAGAAGCCCAGAACAAGGAGTATGTTCTCTCTCTCTCTCTCTTTGTCTCTCCTTCTTTTTCTTCCCCCTCTCGTTCTGCTCTCTCTCACTCCAGCAACTTTTCCCACTCCTACGATATCAAAGACAAAACCGCTAATCACTGGTCCGTAGCTTCGGTCTCATCGCTACAGAGAAGGGCTTCAACATTTTCGTCGCCGGCAACGGCGGTGCCAAACCCAAGCACTCTGAGCTCCTTGCCAAGGACGTGCCTCCCGCAGACGTGGTCCCCATCCTCGACCGCTACCTGATGTTCTACATCCGCACGGCGGACAAGCTCCAACGCACGGCGAGATGGCTGGAGAGCCTCCCCGGCGGCATCAAGTACCTCCGGGAGGTGATCCTCGACGACAAGCTCGGCATCTGCGCCTCGCTGGAAGCGCAAATGAAGGACCTAGTGGCCAGCTACTTTGACGAATGGGCCGAGGCCATCAGGGACCCCGAGATGGTGGCCCAGTTCAAGCAGTTCCAGAACACGCCCGACACGGTCGACAACATGGAAACAGAGCAAGACAGAGGCCAGTCTCGCCCCGTCTACTGGCCCAAGAAACCTGCGGCCCAGGACTTCGGCAGCATGGGCGGCCAGTGGTCCAGCACGGCGTGGGAGCCCGTCATCGAGACCGTCTACTTTGACGGCGCAGACGAGCTCCCCAACGGCATCTCGGCCACCATCAAGCGCGGCGACACGCAGCTCGCCGTTTGGCGGTTCAGAGGCAGATACTACGCCACGCAGCAAATGTGTCCGCACAAGAGGGCCTTTGTCCTCTCGGACGGCCTGGTCGGGCACAATCCCGCAGAGTCGTGCTCCAACGACGACGGCACGCAGCAGTCGGCGCCCTGGATCTCATGCCCGCAGCACAAACGCAACTTTGACATGAGGGACGGCTCCTGCAGCAACGACGGCTCCCTGTCGATTGCTACCTTCTCGGTGGAACCGCGTGAGGACGGCCTGCTGTATCTCAAGCTGCCGCCCGTGGAGGAGCTGGATGCCGCGCTGGGGACCACGAAATGGAGAGTTCGCAAGGGAGAGAGTGGTGACTCGCCCTTTGCAGAGCTTGACAGGAAGATACAGCTCGTGGGGAGGAGATCGCGGAGAGTCAACGGAATCAAGCCGACTGTTAACGGGACGCTCGACGGCTCGGTCAACGGACCAGGCTCGGAAAATGTCCGTCCTGCGGTCATGGCTGGTGGAGGAGGTTGTGGGAGTGCACCGGATTGGTGACCATGGTTTTTTTTTTACAGGTATGCATATACACACGAATTCCGTACACACGCAATATTGAGTTTGGGCTATTACTGAGTACGGAGAAAATACAGCGGCCGGTTTATTTATAGACATAGCGATAGAGAGATATCTGCGTACATGCATGTACCCAGTAGGTACCTCAGGTAGGTTAGGTATCTAGGGAAGGTACTACTCTTGTCTAGTACAAAAATACACCCCGGATATCACGGATATCAAGCACAGTGCCGAGTATCTAGTAGGCAGTCATCACCTTCTACTCCTCCTCCCTATTGAACATTGGACAATGCATGGGACACAAGAATACATGTTCAAATCATACATGGATGCCTTGTTCATGGGACATGGCCGCCCGGTCATGCATAATTTCAAAGTACCAAGCGACCCAGACTCGCCCCCCTCCCCCCGGCGTTCAATGAAACTGAGTCCCGAATATACGTACGGAGTACACACTAGTGTATTATTACAGCATTCTTTTCCAGAAAACGGAAATAAAGTATAATTAAAAGTGCATAGTGAACAGGTCCGTCTCCTGGGGATTCCAACCCTCCTCTCCGTTGCCCACCAACGTCTACCCATTCGACCCGAACTGTCTCCCAAGTTCCACAGTGAAATGACTCGTCAACTCGTTATCCCCGTGCCAAGCTGCCTGGCATGCGTGTGTGGTAGTACAAAAACAATTCGACCGAAACCTTTGTGTGAAGAAAACTATCAAGTGGAGTATCATGAATTGTGCAGACTGTGCAACGCCACTAGAACGCCGTGGTGAATATCCAGACCTCCCCTATTCCACGCCAATTATCCCCATTACTCCGTACCTTTTGCCTCTTTTCGTGATCATTCCTGCACGGTCTCGTCATCACTCATGCTGCCGTAGCCAGTATCTATTTCCATGCCAACCAAGCTCTTAGTAACCGCGAGACATCTCTCCACCACCCGCTGCCGCAGTTCAGCATGAATACCACAATGGCTCGCAAATTGCCCGCCGACCCATAGACGCAGAGTTGCCGCGAGCTTTTCCAAAAGAGGCTCGATGCTCTGGTCGCGGTCCTTGTGGAGTAGCAAGTAATCCATGAGTTCCATCACCGAAGTGAATCCTAGTAAGGACATGCATGCCGTGTTTTCGGGTCGTACAATGGAGTTGAGCGAGTCCACATTGGCCAGTTTGGCATTGGGCGTGTTCGCCACCCGCGTAAGATGTGCAATGGCCATGGCACATCGCAAAGCAATTGAAAAGTCGACTGTAAAGTCGTCAAATCGATGGCCAACGATCATGTTCGATTTGGAAAATGGAACTGTGAGCCTGTCTGATTTGAGAGCCTGCAGCGCGGCTGCAATGTGAGCTCCACGAGACTGTTTCACAAGCACGGCACGGGCCAATATGGCGCGCATCTGAGCATATGAGCCAATCGGCGAAATCCGGATGGCTATGTCGATGGCACCTTCAGCCGTATCTGGTGTTGATGGTGCGTCCCTATCCAGCGCATCACCAAGGACGCGGTGCAAAACCTGGGTGGACCACCACGCAGCCACGGCATCCAAGGGAGAACTTATAGCAACATCATCGACAACACTATCCATGTTGTCGATGGGATCCGTGACATTGTGTGTTGTATCCATGTTGAAGGCCAAGTTGTGGGCACGCTGAATGACGTGCGGGCTGAGAACATCATCACAATCCTGTTCGACCAAGGCGACAAGATGCTCAGGAAGTTCGTCGTCATGTGGCACAGAACTTGAGTCCCCGCGGCGCAACTGAGCAAGAAGCTGGTTTAGTTGCCGGGCTTCGTTCCACTTTGACCTAGCCAGTTCCGCAGCAATAATGTTCACTCCTGCCTGCACAATTCTGCTGCTGGTCACTCGCCATAGGAGAACACGGATATGGAGTGCCTTCAGCATGAGCCGGAAGGGAGTGTCGGGCAACGTGCCAGATGCAAGCAGAGTCAAGACCAATCGGCTTTTGCAAATGTCCATATCTCCACCTGCTAGCTGCGAGTCCAGGGCAATGGACCAGGCCTTGACTCTGGCGATTTCTTGCTCCCGGGTTATCCCTGTGAGCATGTGCAAAACGTGAGTTCCGCAAACGTTACGTAAGCTAAGCTTCATCGCCTTCACAATGAGTGCTGCGGCTTCAAGGAAAAAGTTGCGCCGAGGAACCCAGACGGTTTGAATTGACGTGAGCCAAGCCTGTCGCCGGATTTGAATGGAGGATGCCAAGGATGGAGCTTTGCGTAGCACAGCGGGATGTGGCTTCCTGGACCTTGAATTGGTAGAAGAAAACAAGGAGGGCACGAAAATCCAAAGACATGTGCCCAAAAGCAACAGAGTCTTCAAAGACGACAGAGCATGATACCCCATGATCTGCACATCAAGACTTGATGCAACAGACCCAAGCAAGTGAAGTGGCAAGGCGAAGAGACCACGTCCTTCTGTCGTTTCCGTGCTAGCTTCCGACTCTCGCACGGCCTCGATAATCATGAGACCAGCGAGAGAGCCCACCATGAGCTTTCCAAAATAAGGATTGCCTTGGAAGAAGCCGTTTTGTTGGGCTTGTTGGGCTTGCTGGTGTTGCTGTTGTATTTGTTGCTGGCGCATCATCGAAGGGTTGCCGCCGCGGAAAGATTGTTGGGGCACTGGATACGGCTGACCGACAGCCATTTGGGCTGATATGATTCTCTTCATGTCGTCGGGTACCTGAATCATGCCAGATGACGCTGGGTTACTGGGCTGGGGAGTGCCCATGGGCGAGCTACTGAATTGTTGAGGATTGTCTTGAGCATATTGCATAGGAGTGGGTGGATGTTGCATGGGGCTGATAGATCCGTTCATAGCGCCAGCCATAAAGAGCTTCTCGAAAGCAGCAATGCGGGCTTGCATGGCAGCATTTTCTTCCAGCAGACGATTATTTCGCTTCTCAAGATGGCGAATATATTCAGTGGCTTTGCTTAGGACCTGCATACGACCGTGGTTGTCAGTGATTCTAGTTCTTCCCATTGGCAGAGAATAACCACATCGCCTCATGTCCAAACAGCACAAGGGACAAGGATGGAATATACCGTTGCTTTGTTCAACTTATGAGCCGGTGTAAGCCCATGCAACTCCTCTCGATCCTCTGTGGTATCTTCGCCCCTAGCACTCTTGCACATGATCCGCAGGCTGGGAACGCTGTCTCGTAGGGCGGCAATCTTGTCGTTGATATTGGTCCGGTACCGCTTCTCAATCATATTGTGAGCGGTCTTCTTGACCGGCTTGTCATCATCATCGACGTCGTCTTCATCTTCTGGGTCCGACGACACCTTTCGCTTCCTGGAATCCCTTTTTAATCCATCGGCTTGCTCTGGTGATGAGGCGGTGCCTCCTTTTGAGTCATTGTTAGCGGAATCTGGGCTTGAGGCACTCTTGGGCGAGTTATACTGAAGGTGGGGAGGCATTGCAATGTTTCGTAATTTCTGCTGGAGAGCTGGCGACATTGGCACCGCAGCTGGCTGTCTAGCAGTGTTCAGAGCCTCTGCGTTCGGGGCTCCGAACACGACGTTCGAATTGACATCTGATGGTGCGAAGCCGGCAAAGTTGAACGGCCCATCCGGGGATTGGTCAAAGACAGGAAAAGACCAGGCAGGAGCACTAACGCCCGGTTGGGTTGTTGGTGCGGTACTTGCGCCTATATCGATGTTGTCGTAGGCTGGCGCGGCTTGAAAGTCCCAGTTTGATGTACTTGTAGACGGGGGGTAAAGTTGCTGTCGCTGTTGTTGCTGTTGTTGCTGCTGCTGCTGCTGTTGTTGTTGGGCGCTGGGATCGGCCTCGGCTAGGGATGACGAGTTTGCCGAAGCTTCTGTTGCCGCACCGGACTCGTTAATGAAACCGAAATTTGGGTCCTCGAACCCAAAGCGGTTCGCGGCGCCCTCGTCGGCCATGACACTGGCGCGCGAGCTCAAGTGCTCACCGACGGGCTCGTCGGTCGTGTGAAATGGTCTGGCGCGGCGGGTGGCGGGCGGCCAAATGCCGGTGGGGGTGTTGGATCGTTCCTTTGCAATTCCCGGCAAAAGGTAATAGTTCCTAGATGTCCAACAGCTCGGTAATGCTAAGGCGTGGTATGTGGCAGGCGCAAGCAAACGAAATGTAGGGTTATGGGGATGAAGACACGAAGTGGTGCGTGGTGCGGTTTGGAATCGAATGACGGCGGGCTGGCAGTCGTTCGACTATCGGCTGTGGCAGGGTAGAGTCCGACGTCGAGGCACCAATGAGAAGTGCGCGTGCCATGCAACCAGACAGGATCTGCTGGAGAGCTGGCCGGCAAATCGACTGATGCGGCCGAGGATTATTATGTTTCGGCCTGGATTCAAATAAGAAAAGGAAGCGTCAATGGCGGATGGTGTTGGGTTTGGGTTTGTCGTCGTCCAAGCTCCCACTTCTCCCGATTCCAGGTAAAGCTGGATGGGGGGAGGGCATGGGACTTGAGATTGGAGATCCCGATCGAAGACCTCAGAACCGGAGAAACACCAAGAGCAAGCTTGAATAGAAAAGGACGGCAAGACAACACCCTAAAAAATAAAGCTCACGCACTTGAGGTCGCAGAATCGGGGAAACTTTGGACTCGAATCAGTACTTGGAATGAATGGACCCAGCCGCAACGAGGAAACTGGGAAGAAGCTTGAATGTCCGGTCAAAATTCTGCAGCGGTATCAGAGTAACGGAGCCAGCGCCGACAGGAAGCGCCAGTAGCGACAGCAGTACGGAGTAGCAAAAAGCCAAAGCAGGAGAGCACCAACCAACCAGCAGGAGCAGCAGACAGGCAGCAGAACCACAAGGGCCGCCAAGCAAATCGGGGCGAGGTCGACATGGATCGGTGCCGGGGTCGTAGCTCCAGTCTAGTTCGTCTCCTAGTCAGTTCTCTTGGTCTGGCTGGTCTCGTGGGTGTGCATCTATTGGGAGCTGTATGCATGGGCGCCGTACAATGCATGATGGCTAGCTTGATTTGGTAAGAACTCCATAGTCCACACCCCCTGGTGTGTATAATAGAAAAAAAAATGGAAATGTGTCTTCAAAAAACGCGTCTCGTAATTCTGCATTTTCGGCTTCAAATTTCCGGATTTTTTTGAACAGGCTCGAGCCGCCTCGAGCAGCAGCAGCCTAATTCTTTCAAAAGCGCGATTTTCGGTGTTCTATTTAAAGTGCACACATTCTATGGGACCGGCTATTAATCCGGGTCTTTTAGGGGCTTGTCGTCACGATAATTACATCCTCCGCGATTGACGCTTGTGACGGGCTGCTTCTAGCAGCTTGTATGACTGTTGATCTCGTGGCCCTAGTATTTACAGTTTCTGATCATCTTGAGGACTGTAAGCCGTCTCTGTAGCTGCCCTGTGTTCTTGGCTGCGATTGCCCTTCAATTTCTGCCTGTGTGAGTGTTCTCCGTATGCTTGAATTGAAAACTGAGGAACATCACGACTTCCACGCGATTACTTAAAATTACGGCGTGGCAGACCGGATGGATGTGTGTGTATCGAGGTTTGGGGCGATGTGGGCTATATCACTCATGCAGACGGAGTACAGCTCCTAGATGTACTCCTTCCATGTTGCTCTCTGGAGGCAAAGATGAGCACGACGCAGAGCTCCTTCCTACCTTTTCCCGTTCTCCTGTACTCCCGCACGCAAAGGCCCCAGGGTGGTGGGTGGTACAAAGCCACTTAGTCACGTACCACGGACCATCCACGGAGAGGACGGAGTACCAGACCAGGCACTGGGGATATGAATCACGACGCACGGGCGCTGCGGCAGCCTGCAGATGGTCCTGGTCCTGGCCCAGGTTCCTGACAACGGCGGCGAACTTTGATGGCGACAAGCAACCTGGCCAGGGTGCGCGACGTGCCCCGGGTACCCATGGGGCTCGGGGCGCAAGGGTGGCGGCACATGCCGGGTGGAGGGAACAAACATCGTATGATCCGGACGCTGGCGTCGTGCCCAGTTGGTGACTTTTGTCCTTTGACTGGCTGGAGGAAGGCGCACTGGTACCTCTGTAACACTCAGCGGCTACTTTATGTCTACAGCCAGCTACGAAGAACTTGCCTACCAAGTACTTACCGACGTACGCAGTGCCTACCAGGTACCTAGCTTACCAGTTAGGTTGTTACTCCGCAGTATGTCCAGATATCAGTTGCCAGGTGCCTCAATTATCTGGTAGGAGAAAAGTCCAGAGACACTACGTAATACCAGCAGCAAGCGCCAACAGTGAATAGTCCAACGGTCTTTCCTCTGTGCTCGCGGATTCGTTGGAAATGGCAGGACCACCCAAAGCGTTTTGCTCAAGCGACGTTGGAAAGAGCCAAAGAAGACAAGACGCCCATTACCACGCCGCCACCACCAGTTAACCCCACTCTCCTTCCGTACAGGCTGCTTGGCCTACATTTTTGTGCCCAAGTCCTGGCTGCCAAGCATCGAGCTCCGGTTTACTGCAAAGGCGTGTCAGAGGCGGAGGTAGCAGAGCGTGGCCAACAAGGACCACGCCCCACCATCCTTCTTGCGACCGGCGACAGGCGACAGGGCGGCGGGCAGAGTGGGGCGGGCAGTCGGGATCCGCTAGTCTACAAGCCCGCAAGCCTGCCCCGCCCCCCGCCCCCCCAAACCAGCGCCGCTGCCCGGTCTTGTCAGATACTCTTGTTTGCTTTTTTTCCCTGCATCACTCTATTCCTGAAATTCAATTGATTCTTCACATCAGACAAGCACACTGCTTTCGCTTGAGGAAATAACTGGCCAAATGCAACTTACCGGAGGCCAATTCCGAGGATCGACGGTGGACCGGAGCGGTTGAACGGAATGTATTGCGGAGTATTGTACTCGGTACGGCGGCCGTTATCACATCTTTGATGAGCCAACGGGGTACGAGCACGGACAACACCGTTGAAGATTTTTGCCTGTCCTTGCACATACATGCCGCATCATACCCAGCATTACCGGCGAACCAGCAAGTCCTCATGGCATTGAGACATGTCATCAGCGCCAACCGAGCGTCCGCAATGCGCATTTGACCTCAACAAAAGCTCTTCACTGCTGTGTACGGAATAGTACTCCGTACTTGCCTTCAATATTGCCCACATTATCCTCTAATATTGCCCACATTGAAAACGCCACGCCGTCACCGTCATTGTTCGAGTCTCCCTTCAGCCTTGGCCTTTGCCCCCGTACAAATACAATGTGTGTGGTATCAGAAGCACGTTCTCGGTGCCATTACCTTGTGCGCACCGATATCGAATCACGCACGAGCAGCCCCTCATCCTTGTGCGGATCCTACAGTCCTGGAATTGTCTCCGTGCTCCTTACGGAGTGCCTCAAGCGATACAATTTCACAACAGTACTCCCTCCGTACGCCGCTGCCGACATTAAAAATCAATTCACGGGCCCTCTCAATCCCGCACTGCCGGTGGCCCAGTTCGCGATCCGCCCGTGTTTGTGCCCTCTCTAGCCATGGTCAAGGTCACTCCGGCAGTGTGGAGTGTCAACTTCATCCCGTCTGGTCCATCCTGCATCTCCTCTCGGCACGCTTTTCATTCGCTGAAAGGAGTATGCTAGCGTGCTTACGTTTTTTGTACCAAGAAAATCTCTAGGAACAAAAATCTGGTGGCTTTCGTCTCCACTTTATTCGTTTTGTTCCGATCTTTCCTTGTTACAAAACACAGTCAAGACACATTGACCCGACCTGACCCTGCTGCTTCACCGGATGAACTAATGAGCTAAATGGTGAGGCTGCAACTCAAAGTAAAATGCACATGGCCTCACAGACCTCTCGGCAATAACATTGGAGTCTTCTCCATGTCCTTTGACCTTGTGTGGGGGCCATGTCAGCTGCAACTACTCCGTACGGAGTACTACTGACAAGACAGCTTATCGGAATTTTTTTCAATACATTAGACTTTTTAACAGCCCGTGATGAATTCGGGCCTATCTGATGATTGCTGTACAACAGAACCAGGGGCCGCGCGCGTATGTCACTAGTAGCTACTCGGTATGTACTAAATACAATACGGCCCAAGATAGTGTCACTCACTGACTCTCTCCTCCTTGCTCGGCTATCGTCCGCGCAGGAGCCCAAAAGCTGCTGACGACAACGGACAGGCTCAGCACTTATTGTGCATATGAATGTACCGAGTGGCAAGCAAACAAACGAAATATCGGCGTGAAATCTCCAGGGTCATCGAAACAGAGGCCTCCAATAATAATATATGGCTGCTGTGTGCTAGTAATTGACACGGGACGAGGTCAAGCATTGAATACTACATATCGCCAAGCAATAGCTCTTTCGCGGTACGTACGGAGTAGTACTTGCTAATTTTACACGATGCCAAGCTCCAAATTGAACTCCGTCATGTTTCTCACCAGCGCCGCCTGAAGTTCCTCCTCTCCAAGGTCACCCCCTGTCCAGCCCGCCACGGACCCTCGGCATCAGATAAAAGTGAACATCGTTCATGAAGTCTCGGGTCCCTTCGAATACGATGGACGGCACGCGTCGTTCTGGCAGGTCCATCATACCGCATCAGGAACCACCTGCTCCGCAATGCCTCGACAAATCCTCGACCAACTCACTGGGCCCCCCTTCCATATCCTTATCCTTTGTGCTAATAAACAAGTCTCCGTCCTGTATGTACGAGGGTATGTACGGAGGATGTATGTACATAGGTATCCATCCGCACGCCGCGAGCAATTCTGCCGCAATGGAAATATCCCCTTGCTGGCCCACGGGAGCGAGCCATGAACCTGTCCAAGGGACATGGTATCGTCGCGGCCAGACTCCAACGGTCTGTCCCGACATTGTAGCACTCGTTTCTTCTGTCACGCTGAGCATACCGTCGCCATGGAGTTTCGTCGATGACAACCGCCAGTCCCGCTCGGCCTGCAAGGGGCGCAGTCAAACGCCGAACTC